TGAACCACGCTTTAGTCGTGAAATGACCAGAATGGGCCAGAAGACATAGCCAATTATTTTTGCTTCATGATGACGCACCATCACACACTTCAAAACTAGTTAAAGGTACATTAAAAGATCTTGCCTGGGAAGTATGAACCCACCCGCCATATTCACCAGACCTTGCTCCTTCAGATGACCACTTGTTCTGATCAATGGCACACGCACTTTCTGAGCAGCATTTCAGAACATACGAAGAAGTGGAAAATTGGATCTCTGAATGGTTTGCCTCAAAACAAGAAAAGTTCTATTGGGACGGTATCCACAAATTACCTGAAAGATGGGGGAAATGTGTAGCTAGCGATGGACATTACTTTGAATAAAGCACTTTTGATGTTTCTCTTGAAATTATTGTTTTCTTTGATTACAAAATCCGCATTATTAACCGATACTCCTGGTAAAGTTCACATGAAAAAATTAACCTGCAACAATATCTAGAAAAATAATGCAAGCAAGTAGGAAAGGGACTCGCTGTAACAGATAGTAAAATACTATACATTACAAAGCCTCTATCACTAAAGCGATTTAGCACTGTGTTGGCCTGTATGTTCAGTGGCTAGATTTTTTAGAACGTTGGCCTGTGCACTGAAGGGTGGTGGGTTCGATGTCTAATCAAGGGCACGTACCTGGGTTGCAGGTTTGATCCCTGGACCCTGGTTGTGGCGGGTGTGGGACGCAACCAATTGATGTGTCTCTCTCATATCAATGTTTCTCTCTCTCTCTCCCCTCCTCCCCCTTCCCTTAAACTCTCTCTAAATATCAATGTAGAAAATAGCCTCTGGTGAGGATTAATAACAAAACAAAGGAACTACTTAGCTCTGGTATGTAATAAACAGATCATTCAAGGGAATAGAATTTTTATTTTCACTAAATCTTTATTGTTCAGATTATTAGTTGTTCTTCTTCCCCCTCTCCCCCCCTCATAGCTCCCCTCCACCCGGTTCCCACACCACCTCCTGCCCTTACCCTCCCCACTGTCCTCATCCATTGGTGTATGATTTTTGTCCAGTCTCTTCCCACACCCCCTTCCTCCAGAGAATTGTCAGTCCACTCCCTTTCTATGCCCCGGATTATATTCTATTCACCACTTTATTCTGTTCATCAGATTTTTTATTCATTTGATTTTTAGATTCACTTGTTGATAGATATGTACTTGTTGTCACTTTATTGTTCATAATTTTTATCTTTACCTTTTCTTCTTCCTCCTCTTCTTAAAGAATACCCTTCAGGATTTCATATAATACTGGATTGGTGCTGATGAACTCTTTTAGCTTTTTCTTACCTGTGCAGCTCTTTATCTGACCTTCAATTCTGAATGGTAACTTTGCTGGATGAAGTATTCTTG